TAAGGCTGCAGTGAATGCCAACACCCACCGGCTCTCCCCGCCTCATGGCAACATCTCGTAGGCCCCACGCGAATGGCATTTCTTCCTGAATCTCCAAGTCTGCATTAGGTGTTCTCATCTTTCCCCATTACATCCACTGGTCACACTGTTTACTTATTTATGTCTCCTGCCAGACACCAAGCTCCAGGATGGCAGGGCCATGGGTAATGCTGTTTTCAGCACTGTGCCCTTAGCACCCAGCCTGGTCCCTGGCACACAGTGGGTTTCCATATTCTTGTAAATGAATAAATGATAGTGATGAGGGCAATGAGTGTGAGTGTTTAAGAGGATTTTGGATGGATGTGGGCAGAGTGGTGCATAGAAGAGGGGATTCTTGGCCCTGCTCCTAGCCAGATCTGGGCAACTGGACAAGTAATCACTTCTGTTCAAAGACAAAGAAAAGGGGACTCTGGAGTTTCCTAAAGTTGAGATGGGGGAAGGGGGTGGTGTGCATATGTTAATGGATCAAACAAACCCAGTGTGCAAAAGCAAAATTAACTTACAGACAACATTTCCAGAGTACAAATCCACAAAGTTCAGAATGCCTGTAGTAACACAAATCCCAGCTGTCTGAGTACGATTTGGACCAAGAAAGTCTGCACACGCACCTTGGCCAGAACAGAGAGAGAAGTTAGAACAGGAAGACCAGACTGGACCCGCTGCAGGGAGGAGGGAGGCCGATGTGGATTTAAGCCCGGTGCCAACATTCATGGCTGCGATTGGCTGCCATCCAGCTGCGGGCCTGAATCTGATAGGATGAGGGTCCAAGTGGGGCTGTGGGGTGCAGGAAGGGCTGGCCTGCAAAGGCTGCTGGGAAGCACAAGTGCCCAGTGGTGGGGGGAGGGGGAGGGCAGGCCAGTAAACAGGAGGAAGTTTAGACAGCATCATTCCCTGGGGCATTGGCCGCTTCTAGGTCACAAGCAAGAACTGCTAGCAGAACAGAAACTTGGCTGGAAAAAAAAAATGTTTTTGAAGCTGCCGAGTGAACCTTGCCTCTTTCAGTGCAGCCAATTCTCTGTGATCTCAAAGTGGCGACGGGCAATTTCTGTGCTATCTTTGGACCAGCACCGCCAGGGCCAGGCCACCGGACGGAACTGGAAGGTGGGTCATTCGGGGACTTCTCACAGGGGAGCCTTTCTGAGGCAATCGGCCAATCCATACATGTTGCTGAGCACCTCCACGTGAAGTAGGATGCAAGAACCTGGAAGCAGGCTTCGGAACCAACCGGTTGGTGAGTTCGGACTTGAGGCCGATGACGCACAAGTGACACCCACCTGGCAGCTGGGTCCCCTTGGTGCCCGCATCATACCGTATCTTGGAGGTGCTCACTTTGCTGAAAATATCAACAATACTCAGACCCTTCCTCAATTTCCTTCCAAAAACAAAATCTAAGAAACAGCACCAAGAAGTCTGCGTGCTTAGGTGGGGCGCCTGGGTGGTTCAGTCGGTTAAACGTCTGACTTGGGTCAGGCTTCGGCTTATGATCTCACAGTTCGTGGGTTCGAGCCCCGCATCGGGCTCTGTGCTGACAGCTCGGAGCCTGGAAGCTGCTTCGGATTCTGTGTCTCCCTCTCTCTCTGCCCCTCCCCCACTCGTGTGTGTGTGTGTGTGTGTGTGTGTGTGTGTGTGCGCGTGCGCGCGCACGCACGTGCTCTGTCTCTCAAAAATAAGGAAACATTAAAAAAAAAAAAAGAAGTCTGTGTGCTTAGGAGAAAACTAAAAGCTTAGGTGGGGTGGCGCAAAGCGGAGACTTTAAAATGCAACATTGTACATCTTGCGCTCAAGCTTCCGCGGCCCCTGCCACACCCGTCACCCTGCTCCACATGGGACCCTCCAGGCTATGGCAGATCTCTGGCCCCCCTGCTTCCAGCTTTCTCTCTCACCCCTCACCTCTTAACCACCCTTGGGAACTTCCAATTCTCTCCCTTCTATACTGCAAATGTATAGTGTGTGTATATATATATATAGTGTATATAGTGTATAGTATAGTGCAGATGTATAATGACGTCTCCTGGTTTCCGCTTCTTAACACAGCTCCAGGACCACCTTTGAAATCTGGGTTCTGCTGAACCTGGCATTTGCTGTGGACGGGAGAAGGCAGAAGTGGCTGGTTAATACCGTCACTTTTCTCTCTCTCACCCCAGGATCAATTATTGTCTCTCCCCTGGTCTCTCTGCCTCAAGACTCCCCTGTTCAGTCGTAAACGAACCCTCCTAAGACATCGCTTCTTCAGCTCAGTTCGGAGCTGCTGAAAGCCAAAGTGCGTCATTTCCCCTCAAAGCTGCTCTTCCCTCCACGCTCAGCCTCACAACCATCCATCCCGATGCCCAAGCTAGAAAAGCAATGTCACCTTCCACTCTCTTTCCTGAGTTTGCCACCAAAACTGTTCGATTCTCCTTCTGAAATGTTTCTTGGTCAAGAATATGGGTACAGGGAGTGCACCGGACAAGTGGTTCAGTGGAGGAAAGGCAAAGAAACTCCCATGACTGATTACCCTACTAGAAACACATGGAATGGGAGAAGGGCGTTTTCCCTAAAGAAAGATGATGGGCGCGACAGCATCTCAGCAAAGGATCCGGGAGCCACGACAGTCACAGAAATGCACAGAAATGTGCATACGAACACCCAAGCCACAAACATAGGTGGAGTTCAGACACCAGCCCGTGGTAGGGGGTTGGAAGGACTGGACTAGGGAGGGAGTGGGGAAGGGGAGTCCCAGAGAAAAGGCTTGAGGCAGACGTCCATTAACACAACTAGAGAGGTGTTGCTTAGCTAGAGGGGCTATAACAAAGTATAGCCTTATACTGCGGGGCCTTAAAACACAGAAACTTACTTGCTCACAGTTCTGCAGCCTGGAGGTCCAGGTTCAAGGTGCCAGCAGGGCTGGTTTTTCTGAGGCCTCTCCCCCCTTCTTAGAAGAACACCATTCGGTTTGGATTAGAGACCACCCTAATGGTCTCATTTTAACTTAAATTACCTCTGTATTTTATTTACTTATTTATTTGGGGGGGGGGGGATGACAGAAGGAGAGAAGGGCAGAGAGAGAGATGAAGGGCAGAGAGAGAATCTCAAGAGGCTCCACACTGTCAGCATGGAGCCCGCCGTGGGGCTCGATCCCATGGCCCTGGGATCATGACCTAAACCGAAATTAAGAGTCAGACACACTCAACCAACTGAGTCCCTCAGGTGCCCCTTAAATTACCTCTTTAAAGACCCTCTCTCCAAATACACTCACATTTTGAGGTGCTGGGGGTTAAGACTCCAGTGTCTTAATTTGGAGGGACACGGTCAGCACCAAACTGTTGGTGGCAGGTCGCACCGGTGATGAAGCCGAGTGAAGAGGCCAGAGTCACTCAGGAGCCCCCTCGTGGCCTCCGGCCAACTCTGCTCCCGAGACCCTTCTCTTTTATGGCACTTTTTATACACTGACTTCCGAGGCAGGCTCGGTTAGGGGCTTTGAAGCATCATCAATCCTTAAAGCAGAATTAACTCAGTCAATCCAAACTGGATTCCATTCGCATCCGAAGACTGAAAAGCCTGCCCAGGTCACCTAGAAAGCTAAGGTCAGGTTTGCTTTTGCCACCTCGGTGAGTCAGCTGGGATTGCAAGCTTGTTTTTTACATCACAGAACTCCAGACCTGGGAATTCTATTCCTCCATGAGACCCAGGAATGTACAGCTGGAAAAACTGAGGTGACTTCTTCAGGCCCTTCGTGATTCTGTAACAGTAAGTAAGTCTGGTCCAAGAGTAAAAAGTTATGAACCATCGGGGCGCCTGGGTGGCGCAGTCGGTTAAGCCTCCGACTTCAGCCGGGTCACGATCTCGCGGTCCGTGAGTTCGAGCCCCGCGTCGGGCTCTGGGCTGATGGCTCAGAGCCTGGAGCCTGTTTCCGATTCTGTGTCTCCCTCTCTCTCTGCCCCTCCCCCGTTCATGCTCTGTCTCTCTCTGTCCCAAAAATAAATAAATAAACGTTGAAAAAAAATTAAAAAAAAAAAGTTATGAACCATCATTTTCGAGTCCTCTTCATGTTCACGGGACCATGCTCTCACAGAAGGTTCTAGGAAAGAATGTGTTCCATGCCTTTACTTATCCGTAACTCAGCCTTTACATGCGAATTATATTTCATGTGGGACACAGGTTCATTGTATTATGGCCGATGTGACGTAAGAAGAAGGTGCTTCACAAAGGGAGAGTGGCCTGGGCCTATGGAGATCTTAAAATGACCAGCCTTTGGGGCGCCTGGGGGGCTCAGTCGGTTGAGCGACCGACTTCGGCTCAGGTCATGATCTCACGGTTTGTGAGTTCGAGCCCCGTGTCGGGCTCTGTGCTGACAGCTCGGAACCTGGAGCCTGCTTCGGATTCTGTGTCTCCCTCTCTCTCTGCCCCTCCCCCACTCATACTCTGTCTCTCTCTGTCACAGATACAAAACCTTAAAAAAAATTAAAAAAAAAAAAAAAAAAAAAAAGACCAGCCTTTGCAGCTTGGGGCCCCCATGTCAGAGAGATTGGTAACCACAGCTCCTTCCCTGGTAGAGCATCCGTGTTCAGGGGAGTTCAAGGTGGCTGTGAAACCATGCCTTCGTGGACCACCTTGCAGCCTCGAGCAAGGGTGTTCACAGAGCCTAGTGAGCAGGGAGCCCTGCCTCACCTTGCCCTTGGAGCCCTTTCACATGGATTCCCTGTGAAAACGCATCTCTGTTGGAACGCCCCCAAAACGGACCTGCCTGTCTGGCTGGCAGCCAGCAGCCCCGAGGGGGGCAGAGGAAGCCGGGATGTAACTGGGGTAAATGCCTCTGCTGCAAGCAGACTGCGGCACTTAAAGTCACAGCTCTCACCCAGCCTCCTGTAGGGACAGAAGAGGAGACTGTGATACTGTATTACCCTGTCAGTCACAGGGAGGCAATTCTTCAGGTCATCAGTCAAAAGCCTCCTTGGCAATGAGAAATGAGCCTGAACACCAGGCCGTTTAAAAAGATATTTATTGTGAAACGTGGATGCGGCGGCGCCTTCCCCGAGTCGAGACAGACGCTCAGCATGAATTACTCCGGCGAAGTCTAGAGAAGCAGGTGGCAGCTACCTGGCTACACATGAGATAAGGCCTCAAAACCAGCACCACAGCTCCACCTGGGAGGAGAGAGCACACAGGTGGAGGGCGGGGACATGGGTCCTCGGGGCTGTGGGGAGGGACGATCGAGAGCCTGTGGCCCCGGACGGCCGACTTGTGGGGCTCCCCGCAGGGTCCCCAGGCCCAGGTGAGGACAAACAGGGCTAAATCCGATACAGGGCAAACCAGAGATGCCAGCGGACGTGACTCGATGCCTGGAACGTGCGGCAAAGTACTCCAGGAGCACAATGTTTGGGGACGTGGTAAAACGAGACTGGTGACACGTAAGCAACCACAGGAACTGGCTGATGGAGATTTGGGGGTTCGTTATATTGTTTTTTCTACCTCTGTGTAGATTTAAGAATTCCAATATTTCGGGGCACCTGGGCGGCTCAGTCGGTTAAGTGTCTGACTTCAGCTCAGGTCATGACCTCGTGGTTCATGGGTTTGAGCCCCGTGTCAGGCTCTGTGCTGACAGCTCAGAGACTGGATCCTGCTTCGGATTCTGTGTCTCCCTCCCTCTCTGCCCCTCCCCCCTCATGCTCTGTCTCTCTCTCCTCTCTCTCTCTCTCTCTCTCTCTCTCTCTCTCAAAAATAAAAATAAACCTTAAAAAAAATAGTTCCAATATTGAGACCAATTTTTGAATAAAATAGATCCTTATCCTGCCTTTATGGATCTCATCTCTCTGCAGATATATATCCCAGAGCATATGCCAGGCACACTTTCTAGGCGCTAAGAGAACCTGCAAACTACAGAATTATATTGTGGAGATAAACACACACACAGATATATGTATATGTATACACACATTATCACATATGTGTATTGTATGTGTGGACACACATATTCACCAATATTATAATTGTTACATTTATATTTTATGGCATGTATACAGTCCTTTGTGCCTTTTTGCCATTTAATTTCACGAAAATCACATGAGCCAGGGGACTCAGTAAGTCATCCAAAGTCAAAGAGATACCGAATGCCAACTCCAGGTTTCAAGCCCACCTTGGTTTGACTCTAGAGCCTGGAACCATACCCACCCAACCATACTAACCCACACTCACTGGGGGTACAAAGAGCCTCCCTGTACAATCACGAGGCCAAGAGAAATGAGTGCCTTCTGTCGATGAGGCAAGGTCAGAGGGAGCCCGGCCTGCCCCACTGCCTCTGCCACCCTCCTCTGCCACACTCCTCAACACCACCACGACTTTCTACGTCCCTTTGGGCAAATCTGTGTGCACCTGAGGCCGCCCAAAGAGTGCCATGCGGCCACAGCCTCTGCCTGAGCAGGTGCTGGGCGTTACGTGACTGCCCACTCTCACACGTCTACATCTGGCTCCACAGCAGGACCCTGGAATGGAGTTTAAGAGCCAGAGATGAAGGAGACAGAGTTTCAAGGTGGCCAAACCACTGTTATCTTTTAAATAAAATAGATTGCATTTGGTTTTCTGGTTATAAAGACAACTGGGTTCTACTGGAAGCAGACCTTGGGTTAAGAACCTGAGTGCCGGGCCGCCTGGGTGGCTCGGTCGGTTGAGCGTCCGACTCTTGATTTCGGCTCAGGTCATGATCCCAGGGTTGTGGGATCGGGCCCCGCATTGGCTCTGTGCTGAGCCTGGAGCCTGCTTGAGATTCTCTCTCTCTCTCTCTCTGCCCCTCTTCCCCCTCGCACTTGCTCTCTCTCCCTCTCTTTCTCTCTCTCTCAAATAATAATAAAAGAACTTGAGTGCAAATAGTTTTGGGGGGAGCATCTACAGGGGAAGTGGGGCATGAGTCAGGGAAAGAGGCACCGTGTGACTGAGCAGACAGCCACTATAGGTAACACGAGGCTTGGTGCCACTGGGAAAGTCTGGGAGACTGTGCAGAATATACGTGAGTTTTCCCACCTGAGAGGTGAAGAAGCCGGGGAAGTTACCCTGCGACTCCCACCCACCACCGGCTGAATGCTGCTCCCGGCACTGGTAACTGCAGCACTTCTGGGCTGGTCTGTGCACAGGGCAGGCCCTCAGGTGGAAAGGCACGGGTATTTCAGTAGGGTGCCACTGGTGCGTACCAGAACGGCCAGGCCAAGGGATACGGACAGAGCATCGGCAGCATTTGCTTCCCATGTGGGAGAACTCTTAACCCACCTTCCCCTCCCCCTCCCCGTATTAACCAATGTCCTTATCCCTTCCGTACATCATTCTGGTGATTAAGCCCTTGGGGCTAACATGGTACTTCCCTGGGCGCCCACACAATTCTGCCTCCACCAGATGTCTCATCGTGGCTTGCCCAGAGTGAGCTGCATTAACTGACTTTTCAAATTAACCAACTATTGGTTCAGGACTGTCATATGCTAGGGCTTACTCCTCCTTCTACCACTGTACAGACACACACACACACACACACACACACACACACACACACACATGCACACTTATGGTTGTCTATGTGAAGGACAGTGCAGTGTCATTAATAAGAACGATGCCAGTAGGGCATAATTCCCAGACGAATTATATATATATATAAGATTGGTGAAGGGCACCTGGGTGGCTCAGCAGGGTAAGTGTTCAGCTCTTGATTTTGGCTCAGGTCATGATGTCATTAGTCTCCCATGGCTCGGGGAATTCATGGGTGAGAGCATGAGGACCTGATCAGGTTCCACGGTATGGTGGGGCTACCACCAAAGAAGCCAACAGCAGACCCCTCAACAACCTCAGCTTTGAGCGACCCCATTGGTGACTCAGCACAGCGTTTCCCAAACTTGACAAACATACAGATTTCCAGCTTCGTCTCCTGGCGATTCTGATTTAGCAGGACTGGACTGGTCCTAGAAACCTGACTGTTAACTCACAACTAAGTAATTCTTACAACTGAGCAAGGCTTGGGGCGCTTGGGTGGCTCAGTCGGTTGGGCGTTGCACTTTGGCTCAGGTCATGATCTTACCCTTGGTGAGTTCCAGTCCCATGTCAGGCTCTGTGCTGACAGCTCAGATCCTGGAGCCCGCTTCAGATTCTGTCTCCCTCTCTCTCTGCCCTTCTCCTGCCTTCTCGCACACTTGTCTCTCTCTCTCAAAAAATAAACATTATAAATAAATAAATAAATAAATAAATAAATAAATAAAACAGAGCAAGGCTGAGAAACGATGACCCAGCAGAACCATGGATCGTGAACTTGGTGGGGGAGGGGGGGGAAGTCCTAAATCACCTGGTAGCCCACAAGGTCAGTCAGTTTCCAACTTAGTCCAGATCAACCCATCTGCTGGTTATGTATTCATTCCTTCCATGCTGCTGTACCCCTCACCAACTAGGGCAGCACTTTTCATCCATGGCACTACTGACGTTTTACACTGATTCTGTGTGAAGGGGGATTCCCTGGGCACTTCAGGATGTTTAGCAGCATTCTTGACCTCTACCCACAAATGCCAGGAACACATCCCCCACCGCCACTGTGTCAGCCAAACCTGTCTCCAGACATTGCCTTATGTCCCTGGGAGGGGGAGCAAAATTACACCCCCCCCCCCCATTGAGGTCACTGAACTATGGTGACCAACCATCCAAGTTTGCCCAGGACTTCCTGGTTTTAGCATTAAAAGTCCCACGTCCTGGGAAAACCCCTCAGGCAACTGATACCACTGCTCACCCAAAACACATTCCCTTTGAAGGCTGAGGGTAGCTCATGTGTCACTGAAAATCCCTTAATTCTTCCAGACAGCCAAGTTCAGATCTCAGCTGTGTAGAAGAACCTGGAATGGGGCTGCGGCTAAAAAGATCTTTGAGACATCCCACTCAATGGGGCCCAGAGAGGTCTGAGAACCCATCCCCTAGACTGTGAGCTCCACAGGGGCAAGAAACCAACTGTGTCCTTCCCTGATGATACCCCAGTGCCCAGCAGAGAATATATAAAACATGGTCAGTAAATATTACTGATCAAGTGGTGGATGGATGGATGGATGGATGGACAGATGCATAGGTGCATGGATGGACAGATGGGTATATAACTAACTAAGGGACTACAATTAAGTTTTCTAATCTTTCTGAGCTTCAGCACATCCCCTCCCATAGAATGTAGGTAATAATACCTTCTATGTAAGGCTGCTGTGAAGGCTGAATGATAAAACAAACTGCTGGGTGTGGCTTCCAGTATCAAAATGCTTCCTTCAGTGCCTAGCACATATAAATGCTGGCTCCCTTCTTCCTTTTCTGGGGTCCAGAAGAAGTAGTTAAATTTAATTAAATGATCTGAAATATGAGGAGAGGTAGGAGAGGCCCCACAATGCCCACAACACAGACAAACAGGGGCGAGGATGATTGCAAACACTCTTATCTTTTATTTCTCTCTTGTGGTCATAATTTCAAATTGTTCCTAATTCAGATAATGGATCCAATAAATGAGATCCCACAGCGTCCTGCCAAGTGCACTTTGTCTTGCGTGCCCTGGCATCTGGGAAACTTTCATAAACCGCCCTCTCTCTACCCATTAGGTTGGTTCTGCTTCTGAGCCATTTGGACCCTCTGGCCACCTGAATCACAAGGACTTAATCCTCCCATCCACCCTCAAGTTCAGAGGAAGGTGAGAAGAGCAGAAGGCAATAAATAGCCCAGCCTTTACTCAGCAGTTTCAACCCCTTAGCTCAGCCAGGGGGCCCCTGACCACATGCTCTTCTCAATACCATTTTCGTGAACCATCACAAGACCTGCTACCTGCCCCAAAGCCTCTTGGTTAGCGTCCTGCCTTGTCTTGGGTGCCTGTCTCTGAGACAGCTAGTCCATATGTCTGCTCCATAAGACTATGTTCTAAAGACGCCAGATTCTCTCCTTGGGGAGATCTGATTTCTTCCCCTCCCCCACCCCCTATTTCCTCAATACTTTATTTGCATACATTTCTCTATACAAGCCATAGCAAGTGAGGGCCAATCTGGGATTCAGAGTATGGTCGCCATGAAAATGGATCACTCAGATTTCCCCGATTGTGGGAACACAGTTGACTGACAGCCCCAGCTGCCACCTGTCTGGCTGCATCACATTCCTGCTGAGG